AGGTAACGTACGGTAAGTAACCGTAGTACGACGTAAGTACGTACGTACGTACGTAAGTACGTAAGTAGTACGAGTAGAGTAGAGAGAGAGAGAGAGAGGAGAGAGAGAGAGAGGAGGGTAAGACCATTGTTTTTCTTACTGATTAGAGAAAATTATGTACGCACCCAAAATAATTACTCAAAAGGGTGCGGTTTCTATAAGGTTGTAACCTTAAACAATCCAATTAAGGTTGACTTCCAAATTTTATCGTAACATGTAATTTTGTTGTAAAAAAATCTTAGGATTATCTTAAAAATCTATTTTCATATCTAATTAGAAATTTTTAAACTCAAAAAATGGTTAAAATGAAGGAGATCTATAAACATATGAAAATCTTGAATATGGAAGGTCTAGATAATGTGTTGCAAGATGCACTATTTTTGAGACTCAAAAACTTTGTTTTATATATATATTCATACATTTCGATATCAAGATGATCAAATAGAGGGTTTTCCAACATTAAAACAACCTTTCCTATAGATTTTTAAGGTGCAGCTGTAATTTTACATTTTAAGGTCGCAACCTTATATAAACTTTTCCCTTACTTAAAATATGCTACGATTATAGGCGGAAATTATACGGAAGGTTGGTCTAGCCATATTTTTTTTATGTTTTCTAAAATTTTCCTTCGGTCCGAGAATTCCATCCTCGGACCTCGGACCGCATTTTAATTAATTTTTTTTAGTTTTTTCATTAATAGGAAAGTGCTCCAAGCTTCAGGGGCAGTGCCTAGGTGGCCCGAGGTTAGAATCTATAGAGCATATCGATGTCTCTATCCTCAGACCACTGTTTTTCTCAAAAATTAAAAGATAAAGTGCAGTCAAAGGATGGCGACCTCAGACCGCCTTGGAACTGAGTTTTGCTCAGTCCTGATAGCGGTCCGATGTCCCCATCCTCGGACCATTGTTTTTCTCAAAAAATAAGAAATAAAGTACGGTTCGAGGATGGGGGCCTCGAACGATAAGGAACTAAGGCCTGCTCAGTCCAAAGGACCTCGAACAGCCTATGCATTGCCCCTAAGGCTTGGACTATTGGAATAAATAAATAAATAAAAATTAAAATGGGGTTCAAGGACATCCTTGGACTAAAAGGCAATTTTGGAAAAAAAAAAAAAAAAAAAGACAACGGGTTGACCGACCGTCCACACAATTTTGCCCAAAATTGCTCCATTTCATATTTTAGATAAAAATTTCAGAGTCCATACTTAAATCACACAATTTTTTATTCTTTTATCATGGGGCTAACCATAATCTTACATGTCTTTAATACAACAAGAGCTAAGAAAATGATATAATATACATTGTTGTAATTTGAAACTTATTTTTGTCCATTAGCTTTGTGTGCTCATTTCTTCTTCTCTTATTCTATCATAATCTAGCAGACTTTATCCAGAGAAGAAGAATTATTAGCTTTGTGTGCTCATTTCTTCTTCTCTTATTCTATCATAATCTAGCAGACTTTATCCAGAGAAGAAGAATTACTATTGTAGGATGAGATGGAGGTAAAAAACTCATCTTCTTTTTCTCTATTCTTTTTTTGTTTTTTATTTCTTGAAATCCATAAATCTAATTTTTTTTATCTTGGTGAGCCATAAAAGTATAAATCACCGGCAACGTACTTCACACCACCATTAAAGTTAATGTGAAGAGAAAGAAGAGGGTACAGAGGATGAGGTTTATGAGCTTTGAGAAATAAGAAATAAAAAGGAAAGAGAGACCAAAGACTGGAGTTTCATGTGAGAACTAGTTTGATGCACTTAATGATGACTAAAAGAAAAAAAACAAAAAAAAGAGATTATCATAGGCACATTCAAATGGGTGTAATGACATATTTATAAATATATGAATATTACTTTCCCATACTCTTGTCAAAAAAAAAAAAACAACAACAACAAAACATATGAATTCTACTTGACAAAGAAAAACACAGTTTTTTCTTTCTTCTTTTTTTCTTTTTGTTGGGGGAGGGGGTGGGGCATTGGTGGTTACGGAGGCTAATGCCTCAAAATAAAACCCCACCCTCCATTCCCACCCTTAAAATATCAAAACAAACAAAAAATAATAAAAGATGAGGGGGTCATCATGAAATAAGTGAGATTTTCGGGGGTTATAAGAACATTTTATCAAGAGAAAATTACAAATGTGTGATATGTCTAAGGATAAGAAGTTAAGAGAGAGGAAGAAATCCATCAATGAATAATTACAAATGTGTGATAGGTCTAAGGATAAAAAGTTAAAGAGAGAGGGAGAAAAACATCAATGAATAAAAGAAAATGTTATTGATTTTAAGAAGGAAACTGTTTATATACAGTTGCAACTTTAAACCGGTGAATTAAGGTGCACCTCAAACATCCATTAAAAAAAAAGGCGCTTTTGATGTTGAAAACCCCTATGATTTACTAACCTGGCATCAAGGTGTATGGATATGTAAAATTCAACAAAAAAAAGATTTCAAGAAATAGTACATCTTTCTATACGTTATTTAGACCGTCCATTTTTCAGATTTTTATGCGTTTATAGATCTATAGATCTACTTAATATGAACCATTTTTAAAGGTTAAAATTTTTTAATTAAAAATAAAAATATATTCTTAGGCCATCCTAAGAATTTATGACATCAAACTTCCATCTTATGATAAAATTTGGGGGTGCACATCTAACTTCCATTTTATGATAAAATTTGGAGGTGCATTTTACTTAGATTGTTTAAAGTTGCAACCCTATACCAACCACACCTTTTTTAAAAAATACGAAGGGTGCCCTTTCCCCCTCCAATTTACCAAAAGAAAAAAACTATTTTGATATTGGAAAACTATTGATTTAACCATCTCGACGTCGAGAGGCATGGATATTGAAGGGTAAAAAAAAGATTTCAAGTCCCTAAAATATTACATCATGCAACACAATGTTTAGACCGTCTATTTTCAAATATTTTTATGTGTTTGTAGATCTGTTTGATTTGAACTATTTTTTAAGCTTAAATTTTATAATTAGATATAAAAATAGATTCTCGGGCCACTCAAAAAATTTTGACACCCTAAAAATTTTCAACACCAATATCCTAAATTCATTAGGACACCAAAAGTTTTTTTTTTTAACACAAAGGAAAACTAGGCATGATGATGTGTAAGGATGTCAATGGGCTGGGCCAGCCCTTGTCGACATAAGGCCGGGCCATGCCATAAACAAACAACGAAAAATAAAAGAAAAATAAGAAGAAAAAAAGGAGGGCTAGGCCAAGACGAATCAGGCCGGAATTAGCCCTACCCTGGACCTCGGGCTGGGCCTAGCTGCCAGGCCTATTGCCAACCCTACCGATATCTCCAATATTGGACTGACCTAGCTAACAACTACAACAAATAGGCCGGTCCAATATTTACAATAGACTCAACTAAGTATTAGTTGGTGGTGGGGTGAGTCCAATATTAAAGATATCAAACCAACTTATTTTGTTTTTTCTGCAAAAAAAAAATTGTCCGATGTTTTCAACATCGAACTTTAAAAAATTACGAGGTATTGGATGGTTCAATGTTTCCAACATTGGGCTGGTCCCTACACATCAAACAATAACCAAAAAATAAAATAAAAAAGTGGTATAATGTTCAAAACATTTGATTTTGGGAAAAAAGCCTTGGTCCGATGTCGTAATTATTGGACTGGTATACTTCCGCGTAATTTTTCCAAAAATTTCTACCAGTTTTGCTTTAGAAAAGTATACATCAATTTATTCTGCTAATCACCATATTTTGTCATTAACTACAGTAAGAACACGTTATTATTTCTTCTAATGCATGTCATAGGTATAATGGAGTATTAGAAGAGGATCAGATGGTGCAACATCTTTAGAACTATCTTCTTTATTTTTTGCAAGTTCTTCCAAGTGGTCTAAAAAAAAGTACCAATGCCCTTTCTATT